CTTTCTTTCAGTTATTTTCTCTTCATCACAGAGGCGGCTCAATCATAAAGCCACTAAAGCAATGGCTTTAGGCCCCCAAAAATTAAGGCCCCAAATTAATCATATATATAATATAAATAATTGTATATTTATTTGCAGTAAAAAATAATATTTTGCATTCATATGTTGTCAATTTTTATCAACCACTACGTCCATATTTTCAAAGTTTATGTTATGTACTCTTTTAAAATATGTAATGTAATTACGGTTGAAAATATATTTGTAGCTACTTCCTATCTTAGTTTTGTCTAATGCATTTGAACTTGAATCATTCTTGTTTATAACTTCGGTGCTGTAAGATTTTTTTTAATGCTTTGAATGTCTTTTTAAATATTTTTTAAGTAGATTATTAAACGATTAGATTAAAAAATATATTGCCTTATAGCATGTTTCTCCCAAAAGCTTGGCCAGACAGCTCAATTTTTTAAAAATATACTTTTGGGGTTGGGGGACATTTTTTGCCCTTGGAGAAGCTTGGCCAAAACAAGCTATTACCCTTGAATATCTTTTAAAGCATAATGAAATATAAAATTGATGGTTTTACCAATATTTTGAATTAAAAGTGAGATGAAAATTATACAAGTAAAAGGCGATACTCTAATTTTTTAAATGTTTTTATTGCTTATAGAATAATTTTAATATTTTCTCTAACAGTTCCTTTAGTTGAAAAAAGTTTGTAAACTAAAATTAATAAGATATAACTTAAGATTAACAATGTCTCATGAGAATTACACGTACCACCATATTGTTAAGTGAAAAAAATAATTATCCAAATAAAATTAACTTTCTTGCAATTTAGGAAGCTGTAAGAATAAACATCAAATAAACTATATAAAATTTTACTAAAAAAAATTAGGGCCTCTTTTAACTTTTAGCTTTAGGCCACATATTAGATTGAGCCGCCACTGCTTCATCATCATTCATCTAATCCATATTTATTTTTCTTGTTTAAACCTTAGATTTAAAAATAAAAATTCTAATGCTTCAAGGCTAGGCTCGAGTTTCTTCTAGGAATAATGGAACAACTATCCTCGACTTGACAATGTTACATGGAGCTAAGAACCCTAATTTTCAGAATTTGTTCATGTATTTCATGTTTTAACTTTATGTAGTCCTTTCTCCCATTACCTCCTTTGCTACTTAGCCCCATATGTATATATATGACACTTTTTGATGTTCTTAATGCAACTCTATGGTTAAAGAGATACAGAAAGATGCAGCTGATCTTTCCCATGTGGTAAGAAAAAATGGGCAGGGATGTGTTTTTGTTTGTTACTCCTTCCATTTTAAAAAGATTGTCCTAGTTTAATTTGGTACAAACTTTAATAAAGAATAAAGACTTTTATTATTCATAAAATTTGTGTGGTTGAAATTTTTTTGAAATTTTATATGGTCTTAAAACTTGCAATAGTATTTGTGTAGATGTCACTCTTTTTTAAATGGATTAATAAAAAAAATAGTGACGATCTTTTTGAAACGGAGAAAGTATTATTCATCGTAAAGCATTTCTTTGTTTCATCACTATTTTAACCAAACTAAGAAAGTGTTGGGTTTGAATGGATTCGAATTTCCTGGTGTCAGAAGGATGAGGCTGTTTTACGCTAACCAATATATTATAACATGTTCTAATAGGTAACTTACTTTATTATTGAGATTATTAATTCACTTGTTATCAACATTAATTTGTAGAGTGTGCCTCACACAAATAAAAATGACATTTATTGTGTGAGACCTCTTTTTATATCACACGTTTAGGTTCACGAAATTCTGGAACTACAAAGTTGACAGACAAAAAGAAACCTCACACAACTAGCTTTAGTCGTGTGTGGCACAAAATAAAAGTTTTCGTCCAATATTAACTCGAGTCAAATTAGACATCATATGACCTGCTCCTCGTTAATGTTTTTCATGTGTACGCTCTGTAATCTTTGTGAGCTAGTGTTCGCTGAATTAGTGCAAATATCACGACAGATGCTGATGGGACTCAACAGATGATGAGCTGCTGGGTACAGGTAAATGTAGGTATAATATGATACTATGGATAGACCCTAGTTCTTGGGAGTGGGAGAAAAGACTTTACATTTTCACACTTAATTGCTGCAGATGGGTGATTTCACATTACAGTAGAAGAAGATTGTAGAGAGAGGTCAGGAAAGTTGGCTCATGATTAATGTCTGACATTTCCATTAAAGTATAAGGGCTAGCTATGTTCTTGGTCTACCATCTCGTTAAAGCAGACCAATTAAATGCATTAGTAGTAGTCATGCTATGTGATGAGTATATATGGGAGGAGTTATAAGTGCCTATTAACCAAATAGTACGTACCAAACATTCTAATGCATAATATGAGAAAAGGTTGAAAAATTGATCAGTAGTTGAAGACTGGTTGGTATCTCCATATCTTATTGATTTTTAGCTAGTTATAGTCCTTAATTCTTTCTAGCATTTGTTGTTAGAGTACTGCTGCATGTCTTTCCATCTTCTGAAATGCATTACAGTCGATCATTTATTTGAAGTACGTATTTTTCACAATGTGGCTATAAGAATAGTGCCGAATAAGATGTATTAGAAATGCAGGAATTAGTAATGCAAGCATTAGTTATGCAGAGATTATTTCTTAATTCATTGTTTGGTGTGGTGGATTAACAATTAAAATGCATTGCATAATTGTTAAAAAAATTAGTTGTTTACAAAAATGCCCTCCATATTCTTTAGCTTTAAAGGACTTTAAGGATAATTTTGTCTTTAACCATACCAATGCATGCATTAATACCCTTGGTATTGTTAATACCATAGTTTGCTATGCATTGATTATACATAGGATAATACCAAATAGGGTGTGTAACTAATGCTTGTATTAGTTAAACATAGGTTGAAAAAGTGTACCAAACTAGGTATTGCTAATACACAAAGCTAACGCATGCATTATTTTCTCTAATACACTCTGCTAAACGACCTCTGAAAGTACATATGTTCCTTCGGCGGTATATATGTTCCGGCCGTTCTTTTTTACTTGTCATGTTTGCCAAAGCTACTATTGCCTTTGGTATATAATCCCTCCGTTCTGGTTTACATATGTAAAACCTCGGCTAAGATAGAATATAAAGCTTAATGATCAATGCTTCCAGTACCAGAAAGCATGGGTGCAACATCGTCTTATAAAAAAAAATCGTCTATTTGATTTCATGTCAATTGCTTTCTTCTAGATTGGGGAGGAAGCAGGAAATGGAGCACTTGGCATTAGGGGTGTGCATTCGATTTTGACCTTTATCGATAATTACTTATCGATTATCGATTTGTACATATGCTTATCGTTATCGTTTTAATAAGGTTTCGATTTTTTCGATTTCGATTTATCAATTTTGGGGGCTTATCGATTCGGTTATCGATTACACCAATAAGAAAATTTGCGGGATTCCACGGAAAGTATATCGCTATAAACGCGCCTAACTAATATGGACAAAAAGAAGCTAAAATAAGACGAACACCATTTATAATATAAAAATTGTGTCAACAAGCACATGCAACAAAACTAAAGTAAGAGATCAAATGTATGCCACCAACACTCCAACGGTATAAAAAAAACAAAACAAAACAAAACACATCATCACGGCTAATTCTGTTTCTCATTAATTTGAACTTCATTCCCTTGATCTTTAAATATGATCATTCCTTAAATGTGGTAGAGGAAATAATAGGGTAAGGAATTTAGAGTAAAGGAAAGGGTATAGATTAGGAAAAATAATATTGTATAGCCGCTTTCAAAATAGTAGCGGAATATATATACATTCTGTATGTTATATTAATCTACACAAATAGGTAATTACTCATTTAACAAGTGTCTACAGTCTAGGGGTGTGCATTCGATTTATCTATTCAATTTTGACCCTTATCGATAATTACTTATCGATTATCGATTTGTACATATGCTTATCGTTATCGTTTCAATAAGGTTTCGATTTTTTCGATTTCGATTTCGATAACAAATAATCGATTCGATTTATTGATAAACCGATTCGAATGCACACCCCTACTTGGCATGTTTCAGTAGCTAGAATAATTCTGATGCTGCTGAACTTACAGAAAATTTAGTTCTGTAACTTTAAAGTCATTACCGATTTGATTCAAGTTCCCCATGACATGACTACTCACCACCAGGCCAAATGATGTTCATGTTCGAACGTTTTTACTCTTCCCAACAGATGGAAATGACGCTTATCCACAGGGACGTATTTACCATTGAGTTCATAGCTTCTGTTCAAATTTTGTATGTATTTAAGAAATACGTTAACTATGTGTTTTAGAAATCTATAAATTCTGATTCGCCTCTGTAACGCATTGCTTCTCTTATTTTCCCAAGTTGAGGTTCAAAATGAGCAATTCTATCCGTAACAATTGAATTTAGAACATGGCATGCACATGTAACATAACGATGGTTTAACTCCTGAACATCTAATTCATAACTTTCATTATAAAATGAAATAGAAAATATCTTATTACCAAGACAATAACGACGTGAATACTTGGCCACATACGTATATCCTGAATTTCATCAATTAAACCTGTTTGATATGCTAAAATCCTTTTTTGCATAATATAGTTATCATCAATCCAATGAGTAGTTATGCATAAAACAGCTTCTCCTACTGAATCAGTATGAATTATGTCAAAAGCTAAGGCTACTTTACTAGAAAGAGACAAGAAATTTTCACTCGGTATAATTTTCTTTCAAAACTATCACAGTTTTCTTTAGATAAAAATCTCATATGCTTCTGGTGACACATCCTTCATCTCCATCTCTTGTTCTTTGAAGGAAGCTAGGGTTAGGGTTTGTATCATTTTCATGTCAGTTGGATCCCAAGATTGAGAATACAAGTCAAAAAGAGTCACCAAAGAAGGAACCTAGGACTTCTACATCTCAGTTCGCAGTAAAATATGCTAGTAACTAGAATAGGCCAACGTTTACCAACATCACATTTGGCAAATGTTATTTAAGGTCAATAGTAATTTAAACTTTAGCAAAAGAAATGGTAATTTAGATTGTTGCACAGGAAGCCCTCTCCACAGGACTGTACCATGAGAGATATGAACTTAAAATGATTAGATCCAGATTGTGTAATTAGACATAAAATACAAACCAATATTATCATACAAAACACTCTCTCCTCGTGAGTGCACCATGAACACTCACAGTGATGAACTTAAACGATCAAGATCCACAAATCCAGAAAGCACGGCCCTGTTACGTTCCTTAACCTTCACTTGATATATAAGTCTGCACATTCCAACTGTCTTTTAGTATACCAAACACCCAATAAATATATTGAATCCCGTAATAAACGATGTATTAATTTAACATACCTCAACCCTGCCAGCCACATTTCCGTGATTAAAGTCTCTCCTGGATAGACATGTAGTGAAAATCTGCCAGATATGCTCTTGATCATGTTCTGTTCACCTCCGCAAATACATTTAATGATAGCCCTAACTGCATATCCAAGCGTGCACAACCCGTGCAGTATTGGACGAGAAAATCTAGGCAAAGTACATCCCAAGAAATTAGATTGCACTGACATATTGTAAATGCATGAAAACAGATAAAAAAGATTGTAACTTGATATTGTTCAACTAGAACTAGAATTACAGAAGCAAAATCAATCCTTCAACTGATGTCCTGAACAAACGAACTAATTAAGCTTCAAGTAGAACATAAAACTAACAAAAGAAAACGCCTTTTTGGATCAGGGTATGGCCTTAAAGTTATACAAAGTATTCCAGCCAAGCGCATTTGTATAAACTCACTTGTTAAAAGGATGAATATGAGGAGATGGACAGTAGTATGGTTGTTGAAATTACTAAGCCATGTACCATTATGTGTAAGCATCATGTCCAAGTTCAGATTTCAAATTCTTAAAAGTTTCTAGTTTCTGCACTTATTTTCCGACATGCATTTCAGTGGAAGGACTCATCTTTCAGGAGTATGTCCCGAACAGATGGTGAGGAGGAGTCAGGAGTGCCTTTTTTCTACTCTCTACAGTTGTAATAATAAATAGTTATTGGGGGCAGGGGTAGGGGTGGGGGTGGGTGGGTTTTTTTTTTTTGGGGGGGGGGGGGGAGGGAAGGGGGAGGGGGGTTGTTTAGGGCTAAGACATTTTAGAACGACATTATCATGAATTAGTGCAGTTCGAAACTCCTATATCTTTTCCTTTTTTTTTTTGTTCACATAGTCCACAGCTAGGCTTGCCGCATCAGCACTTTAGATGGGCAAGTCGAACTGTAGAAGGGCAAAAAAGCTTACCTCTATTACAATTTACCAACTTAATGAATAATGCCAGTTAAGAAAACTTGTTTAGGTTTGGCAATATTTCTTTCTAAAAGTGCTGCAATATTGAAAAACCCGAAAATTTCCCACATGTTATGCTTCACTCAGGAAGCAATATCGCTAGTTTGTGAGTGCCCTTTCTATTTCGTGCAAAACAATGGGAGGTTCATGTCTAATATCATGCAGCTTTAACAAGTATCACTAACCGGCAAACATTGGCTAAGTAGCTCAAGGATAACAGAATATAAAAGTTATTGGCAAAGAGAAGAACAAGTTACTCATAAGTATAGTACTATCATTATAAAGAGAGAGTTAAATTGCGTTGTTTATGGAAGATTACCCTGCAATTCCTGCAACCATTGGATCTGAATGCAATGGATTGTAATCACCAGATAGCCTATACAGCAAGGCCTGCATCACCGCATTAGGAAAGTTCAAAAATCCAATGAAAACAAGTATGACAAAATCTTCAAGCCCTCAAAAGAGGATGTAAGTATGAGAATTAACATGCCTTTGTGACTTATGGTCCTACACAACTCAAGTAAATACAAGCATAGCGTTCAAGATACAGATATTGATGCTTAAATTTGTGTAGTAACTACATGAAAAACAATATGCAACTCATGTAACCAACCTGTGATGCATGCGTACATTCTTCAAAAACAGCAAAAGGTTGACTTTTGGGAATTTTAGGAAAGGCAGATTGATTACTAGGATTTTTTGAGTAAGAGTAAGGCTGAGATGACTTCGAGAACCCACCAGCACCCCTCAAGTAAATAGCCAACCTGCAATTAATATGTGGTGTTTACTGTTTGCTTTAGCATAAAAGCTCTAGGCATATCAGTTAAACTAAACTTACCGGTTCATGCATAGTGGATCACCAGATTCTTTCTCGTAACTTACAATTTCTATTTCAAGAATGGCTGCTTTACCTGTTAATAGATGATTAAAAGTATTAGAATGTGAGGCAACAATGGGTAAATATATGCATTTTTGGCCGAATATCACACGTACATATCTTCTCTTTTCATTGCTGCATCTCAAGGAATGACATTATCATTTTAATTTCTGTTAACCTATTTCCAAAATGCCTTAGCTAGAAAAAGAGTAAAATTTCAAAATTATATCCACTCAACTCATTCCCACCAATTGCCTAATTGAGAAATGTTTCTGCACAACAGCAGTAGACTTGCTATAAACCATTTGCCCCTTACTCAAATGCCTTCACATTTAACTGTCTATATTTTTATTCTAATTTGATATACGAACTTATCTAGTTCCTGCAGTTATTTCTGTTTGCTATTCATACTCATACCTTTATCATGCAATCCAGCAATACTCGCTTTGTTTAGTATCTGCAACAATAACATCAAGGAAATAACTTATTCTAGATTAAAAACGAAAGGGGAAAAAGGATGATAAATAAAATTAAGATTATTAATAAACAATAAGGTACCATATTCTTCCAACCGAAAACTTTAAAATAATCTAAACTAAGTCATGTTTCAAGTGCTGCCAAGGGAAGGCTCCTCTGCCCTCAACTATGTTTCATCGTGTCAAAGGACTAGGATTTATTGAAATAACTAAAGCCAAACATGTAAAAATTAAAGTGAAACCGTATCAGCTGTGGTGTGCCACTATCCAAAAGTTGGGCAGGAAAGCTGTGAATATAAGATATGTATAAGCACAATAAACGTAAAAGATATGAGACTTGAGGTTTGTAAATAGGATGTTGGTATTATATTGACAGAACATCTATGCAAGTAAAACTGATATGTCCAACTACAGATTACAACTAGTTTCCTGAGGAAAAATTACTTTGAAATTACTTTTGATCTTCATTCATTCTTGAATACCTTCTGCATCCAAATTTAAGAGACAGATTATGTTCTTGCTAGATAAGTTGAGGCATTTAGCCAGACACTTACACAGCCATGGGAAGGGAGCGGCTTATAGATTTCAATGTATTGTTGGCCGTGCAGTAGAAGACGTGGATCATATCTAGCAAAACGAAGCAGAAATGATGCACTTAAGCTAATATCTTGGCAGTGTAGAACAATTGCATATCTACTCTACGGTCATATAAACGAGCAATTTTTCTTTAGCACTTGATCAAATACATGGAGAAACAGAAGCAACAGTATCGTATCTTTAGAGATGATTGGCAACACAGAGAAAAGGAACCGACCCCCCTGCCCCCAACCAAAACTAGAAAAGTATGTGTTCTACTTACTGCAAGCCTGGAATCTGCTCCATTTCTGAAGTAAATCCAAGAGAGAACAAAGCAGCAAAAGTTGGCAAGACCTACAAAGATAAAAGGCCACAGGGGAAGAAAAAGGCAAATCAATTACAGCAACGAATTCCATTGCGTTTATTCAACCTTCGCAGTCCTGGATAGTATTGTTAAGTATTAAACTATTAGGAAAATAAAATGAGTGTAACCCGTTCTTTACAATGCAAGTACTGTCAGGTCGTTAAAGATAAACAATTACTCCGAGTATGACCTTGTGATGTTTACTAATCATAGTATACTGTAAGCAATGGACACATTCCCCCAGTTAAAGGTACCTAAGCCTTTATAGAGATAAAAAGTTTGACTTTACCATCACTCAAATAAAACAGTAGAAAATACAACAGAAGAAGATAATTTAAGCTGCAGATTGGACTATGGCTTGACATAAATCAAGTTCAATTAAACCGAAATTCATCACTTCCTATGAATCAACAATACCTGAATGAATTCTTGACCATCTTGATGATAAACATATTTAAGCTCTTTATCATCAATAGCATCCTTTGCACATGCTCCTATGCCAAGAGCGTAAAGAGCAGCATCCCTATTTCATAATTAACAATTGCAACATGGTAAAAAAAAAAAACCAAAGGTCAAGAACACTAGCAAAATTCAAGCCTAATCATTTGCAAAAATTAATAAAAACATAAATTGAGCAAAATGGATATAAAGGATTCATGTAACTTATCCCAATTAGCCTTTTTTTACAAGTATGTTGCAGTACCTTTCAGTGTAAGTATATAAACTCTGCAAATACCAGTAAACCAAGATTAATGATGGGATTAAGCGATATTGAACAAGTTAATTTGAGAACTAAGAAAGAAAGGAAGAAGGATCATGAACCTCAGGAAATTTGTGGGAAATGACTAGTTCAGGATCGAACTCAGTACTTCCAGAGCCCGCCATTCAATCTTTGAGAAAAAGAGAAGAATCTTCAATTTCCAACAAGACAAATTTCAAGGTACGATTTTGGAAAAGCTGTAATTGCGTTGGGTGGGAACTGAGTTGTTAGAGAAAAGTTGCTTCTTTTAGCAGAGCTAAAGGAAATCGTTTCAGGAAAAAAAAAAAAAATGAAAAATTGGTCGTGGGTTTGGAACGCAGATCGAAGTGGATTGATAATGATTTAAAAGAAAGTTTTATTATACGTATATGTAAAATGGAAAATTTATAAATAAGTGGTTCTCAATATAAAATGTATTGTATCTTTTCTTTGTTGTATAAATTAAAAAAAAAAAAGTGTGTCATATAAATTGGGGAAAAAAAATTAATTTTTAAGACTTAGAGTTTTAATTGAATGAGATTATTAAAATCTTGTTATCAGATTAATGATTATGAAGACTCTTTTCCCACGTAGGAATAAAACGGTACAGTAGAATTTGTTACATGGTTAAGCGAATTGATTTGGTCCAAAAATAGTAAATAAATAGGATTAAAAGTAAGACTTAACGATTAAAATTGAAGAAGATGACAAGCCTGGCTACGAGAACAGCGTCTCCGAGGACAGAAATGAGAATAATATGAAAGAGCAAATAAAGTTATTTAATTGAGAGCGAAAATGGAATACAACATATGTTTTGCTAAGAATTTCGTGTCTTACGATGGTTGTTGAGCCGGCTATATAGCTATACCTAGGGAAACAAGATCCTAGGATCAAGCCCTACTTAAATGATAATAAAGGAGTCATTGATTAATATGTAACGGCATGCCATGAATGCAAATATTCTCTGCAACGGTTGCTCATTTGATATTAAAGAATATTCTTCATTGAATGCTACCCGATGGCAAATATTTGATCTGCTCCCGTTGACCATACTCCCTTTGGGTTTACCCGATGTCAATTGCAGCTCTTGTTCCTGGTATTGGTTGTTACTTGATTCACCTTTCACCTATTTTTGGTTCTAAGTGTCATGCTATCATTGGATCATTTATTATAAACCAATTTTATCCTATACAGATAACCCTCTAGCTTTTTAGTGACAAATCCTTGTGTCACCGGAAAGTTGGTGAAGATCCCTTTCTTGGCAGGAAATATCCTGAACAGTCTCTGATGCTTGAAATGACGCACGTCTTCTCGCATTTAATATCCCGAACACGTGTTTTCCCACAATTCAGCAATACTTTCGCCGGTTCTCGAGGTAATCATGATCACGATTTTTGTTGTCTGTATCTTTACTTATACTCATCATTTGACCTCTTTTCACTTCCAAATTTTTTATAAGTTTATCATCTTCTCCGCACTCAACCTCTTCCTGCTTAGAAAACTTTCGTCTTCTCTAACTTTCTTTAAATATATTACTGCCATGGCTTCTTCTACTGAATCTTTTAGAAACTCTGGACTTCTCTTCGGTGGAGGCCCGAAAAGAAACAAAGACAAAGAAGCCGATGTTGATTCTGAGCCTCCCATTGTAAACACCATCATACCCAAACACCTGGGTACCTTCAATGACTTCCAGGAGAAGCTTCCATCCGCGTCTCCACGGACTTGGGCCGTTAGTAGGTACCCCTTCTCTATTCGCCCTTCTAGTATTCATGTTGTGAAGGAGGACTGCGACTACCCAAACCATGACATCATTGTTGCGGATATGATAGAGAGGGTTACCTTCACCAAAAAAGGTTTTACGTATGTATATAAGTATCCCTTCACCTTGGGTCCTTTTTCTTTGGGGACGAGTGAAAGGCTAGACCCCGTAACTTTGGAGTTTTCTCACCAGTACTAGGTGTGCTTGGCACCAGGAGACCCATCTATACGGCGAACGGTGGCTTGCCTAGGCCAACTATGCACGGAGACCGGGAAAAGCTTAACCCTGGCACATATGATGAATCTCTACTCCCCCAAAATTTTCCGTGTGGGAGTAATAAACTTCAGCAAGCGTGACCATCACGCTCTTCTCACCAGCGTGAACAAAATGACAATGATCGTGGGTGGATGGAGCGGTTTGTCATCATCGCCACTAGGGACATCATCCCGGCCACAACTCTGTCTTTTCCTGAATCATGGAACAATTTTCGTAAGTTTTTGATTCATCTCTTTTCTTCGTAAAAATCTTGTTTTCCGTTATTGTAGATCTCTTCATTTAATTTGTTTCATCTACCCGTTGGAAACCACCACGGCTCAAGGCCTGGACCAGTAGGTGTAGAAGATTCTAGATATCACACTACCAGAATCCCGCCGGTGGAAAGAAATGGCCCCCAAATATGGGTGGAAGGCCAAGAACCATGGTATACCAAATCCTTTTTCCTTTTGTCTTTGTATGAACATAGGTAACTTTGCTAACTCTGTGTTTTTCTTAATTCAAGACTCCTGCAGGGCTTTGTCACCTGCCACGAGGTTGATATTTTGGCTGACCCCGCGGAGGTCGCGAGGGTGCTACAAAGTGCCCTTGCTCGAAGTAGTACCCTCGGATTTGCTTCCGGTGAGGGTGCTTCCTCTCGGAGCCCCCAGTCAGAGAACAAGCAACTAAAAAGGCGACATTCTTCCTCGGTTAGAGCTAAAATAAGAAAATAAAGACCACAATAACCAAGTTGGCCACAATGGTTGCTGTGGAAGATGTAGAAGCCAGTGATAAAGTGGCTCCCCTCCAAAGAATAAAGATAACTTCATCAGCTCAATCGGATGCTCAGCCGGGATAGCTTCGAAACTTGACCGCAGATGATCTCCAAGCACTTTGGGGCGAGATGGAAATAGTGGAGGATGCTGATTCTCATTTTGCAACTCCCATTGCTGTCTCCGGTTCAAGGAGCTCGGACCTTGGGCCTTTTCTGCCTTCAAACACTGAGCAACCAATAATCAGCGTTGCTCCTGCTGCAGCTACTTTGCAACCTTCAACGCCAACAACTTCACGCCCCTCTACACCAGTTGCACCTTCGCAACCAACACCGACTGTGTCTTCTCCACCACCAGCACCCACTGTTGTCTTCAGAGAAGGATAGGAAGAAATTACGCTCCCTTTCGGGGGAGTGTTTGTTTAATAATGCTATGCATAATCCGACAGTGGTACTGTACTTTCTTTCTTATCACTTGTTCTCTATTCTATTGTAACAGATTTCTAACCTTGATATTATTTTTTTTTTACATGCCAACTTTCTTGCTTCCGAGGGCCTGCAGAAATTGATCCTTGATAAGGAAGGACTCGCCTCTGAGCGGGATCAACTGTTGGTTGAAAGGGATCAACTTGCTGCGCGCCTCCCGGTGTTGGAGGCAAAAGCTGCTGAGGCGGGCGAGCTTGAGGCCCGGTTGCAGCAAAGAGAACAAGAGGTGATGTCCCACAACCAAGAAGCCACTCAAATACATGCACAATTCCAAGAGGCTAAGGCTAAGTGGGCTGAACTCCAAGATGATGTACTTGCTGCTTCCGAGTGCGAGTCTACCTCCAAGGAACAAGTGAATAACTTGAAGTTAGCCTTGAGATCCAAAATCGAGGAGGCCAATGCCGTCGAGGAGAAGCGGGTCTGAATGGAGGAAAGATTCAAGAAGATCATGGAGCAAAACCAGATTCATCTGTCTATAACCCGTGATCTTGATTCTAGCCTCGGTTCCATGAGATCCGAGAAGGATGGCCTTCAGTCCGAGGTTGACAGACTTAAAGCAAAGCTCCAATACCAATGGGATTCGCTCATATTGGAAAAGACGTATGCTATGTATCATATGAGGAGAAAAACCTTGTAAGAGGCCAAAGTGGACATTATTGTATTTGATGATTGCATCGCCAAGACCCGAGAAGTGGAGCTAACTGCTCGAGAACGTCTCCCTACTCGGCCCACTACAACTGACTCTTCGAGCACCAGTCTCGAGTATTTGGGAACCGAGGAAGAAATTGAAGAGAATAATGATGAAGGTCCAGGCTCCGAATCGGCAACTGATCCGCCCTCTTTCATCGGAGGGAACGCAGATGCCTCTCTTTGACTGGGCTCCGGCGGTAATAATGCTTAGATTCTTTCCTTTTGTTGTCCCCCCTCCTCTTTGTATTTTGTAATTATGCCAAACTTTTCATTGAGTTTGGCACTTTTAATAAATAATGAAGAATGTTATTTCGAGTGTCGTGCAAGATACATTTTCTTTGCATTGAATTAGTTAAAGCTTCGGGCATACTTTCATCTGATAGCTTCTAATTCCGAGCATGAATTCTTCCAGAATCAACCTTTTACTATGAGGGTTTCATAAGAGAGAGCCCTCTTATGTTTGTGCTCTAAAAAAGGATGTCTCTTGTTCATTTTGGCACAAGTATTTGAAGTTTTTGTTAACTTTCAAATGATAAAATAACTCATCGTTTGGATAAGAAACAAGATAAAAATAAAAGGACTTTATTTTATTCCTTATATATTTAAATTACATAAGGATTTGTTTGCTAAAGAAAGAAAAGAAACTGCCAATACATGTGGCTAACTTGTACAACTTATTTCTACAACGCTGGCCATGCAGTCCCTGGTCCCGATGAGACATTGTTGTTCGTGGTTCTCGTAGTACCTGATTTTCGTGGCATTCTTGTTGTCGTATCTGATACTATACTCCCCAGTATTCGGATGAGAAGTATGCGAATTTGAATATTGGAAGTCTTGCTCTATCGGTGGAAACAACTCGTGAACGGTTAAATAGTCTTTTGTTTGATGGCAAGTTTTGTTTCCCTTTAGGAACTTGCAATCAAGCCAAAGATTATTTAACTATCCCATAGTGGTTTATGATTTCAATGCCATGACTTTTAAAGGTGTTAACCTTGCCAATGACTCTCCTCTCATAGTATGCTTTCTGTTACCGCCTTGTTAAAAACCTTGCCAGAAAAACCCAATTGCGACAAACTGGTCGAAGAGAAAAAGAGGGCAGCACATACTTTCAGTATATATAGTATCCATCAGCAGTAATACCTTTTGAGGTGAGTCACGTTCGAGTTGCTGGGCAATTTGACTCCATCTTGATTTTCCAACTCGTACAATCCTTTACTGGTTAAAGCTAAAACCCGATAGCGACCTTCCCATGTTGTACCCAGCTTCCCATAGTTGATTTCCCGAGTGTTCTGAATCACCTTTCTCAAAATCAAGTCTCCTACTTTGAAGTAGCAGAGATTGGCCCTCCGATTATAATACCTTTTCATCCTTTGCTTTTGGGCCACCATCCTCACGTAT